GTGGTGTAGGCTTGGCCCATGCCACAGTTGCCCAAGAGGCACGAGTTGCCAGGACCTCAGGGTCAGAGTCCGTCAGAGGACCTCACGGTTCAAGTTTTTCAGCATGTTTCAGCTCCGTGGTGCCTGTTATGCTGATACAACAAGCACACTATAGTATATATATATATATATGTGTGTGTGTGTTGTATCTATATGTATCTATAGTAGGCTCAAATTCAATGGATCCTGTGACCAACCCATGCCATGCATGTTTTTTCTTATTAAAATCTTCAGTCTCCTGGTTGGATTCTGCGTGATTCACTGGGGAGCTTTATCCAGGCCCTTGAATCCTGGAGGCGGGTGACAAGACAAGCGCGCTTTGAGAAAGAAAAGATCCTTGGCTTTATAATTTTGGAAGCTCGCCGAGATTTCACATATATTCGAATCATTAGCAGATCCAACCAGAGCACACGTAGTGTAGGAAATCGACTGAAATAGACGGAACTAGCAAAAAATGTTGTGCATACTTTTGAGGAAAAAAATCAAGGAAGAGCAGGCGACGAATCCCGGCTGTTTGACCCCACAATACATGATTGCTCGCAACCTTGCACAAGGTATCCTAAATCTTTCAGGGATTTTCAGGGCCCGTCCCACAAATACCTGGAGACTTGTTGTCATTGATCCATTTGCTTGTCAAGCATGATTTGCATGTGCTCGTAGCTGCACTTAACATGCAAATGCAAATTCCTATGTCCTAGGTATGCATACTGTATGCATATATACACACGTGCATAATTGTGTATACTTTGCAGGTGCGGCATGCACTGGTTTGGCACAGAGTTGATCATTTTTATGGCATGAGCGCCGCAAAATGGGTCAGCAGACACCATGAGTTGCAGGTCAAGAAGACCCTGATAACTTGGGCTGGCGACTTCCCAATGACTGCAATGCCAGCCAAAGCTCTCAGACTTGGGCTGGCTCACTTCGGCTACAGCGGCTACGCTGTTTAGTTTACAGGGGATTAACAGGGGTCCAAATCACAGGGTTGGACGACAGATCCCAGCTCCTTTTGTCTTTTGTTTTATTTTTTGAAGCAGAGACAGAAGCAAAGGTGATACCGGGTATCAGTGATACCAGATGAGATTACAAAGTTTTGGGTGGTGTTCAGGCAACCTCAAGTTGCATTACATTATAAAAAATTGGCCAGTGTTACTTTTTTGCGGCCGGGCTAGGTTCCTCGTCAGATTCCGTTGGTCGCTTCCACACGAAAGGAGAAAATGTCGGCTAGGTTGAAGAAGAGCAGAGGGTTTGAGTGTGAGTGGAGTGGTTGGGTTTTGTTTCAGAGTCGTGCTGTAATTTCCTTGATTGTGCCTGCATCATTTTCACTTTTTTCATGCTCACATGTTTGATCATTTTTGTGAAGAGCCGTGCTTGTCCCAATTCATTCTTGAGGCTATCTTTTTTGCTTGGCGGAAGTTGCTGGATGCGCGAAAAGAGGACACGAAGCGCTGTTTTATTTATAAGCAGTGATCGCGTGTTGTTTGGCGGACCTGGCTCGAACTGTTACTGTACCTGAATTTCAGCCGACTTCAGCCACCTTTGTCCTACAAAGTTGCGGCTCCATGTCAATGACGACCATTTCAGAGAATTTGTTATATAGCTGCTCTATGCTGCTCTCAGCTTATCGCGACATGACATGACTGACCCGGTGGGTGCGCAGGAAAGGAAGTCTGAGGAGATCCGTAGAGAGCACATGCGCCTAGCCAAGGACAGTGTTTTGCCAGTCCAGGGAGAGAGGGAGGAAGCACATGGAGCCACCAGTTGAACCATGTCCTTTGCCATGCGAGCCACCCTGCACCACCCAAAGTCACATCAGTCACCATGAGTCATGTGAGCAAATTCCAGAATTCTTTCCAGCTTCACTTGCTGCCAATATCTGCCCAAGAAATTGATCCAAGACTTTGATCCATCCTTGACCCCAACCAAACTCTGACATGGAAAAGCTATGTAAAAGGAGAACTCAAATATATATATATATACATATAATATAAAAATATATATATATAATATATTAAAAGGAGAATTAAATGAAAAGGCGTTGGCTTTTGAACTTCCTCCCTGCTTGAAGAGACTTCTTGGTAAGGCATTAGGGCAGCTTTCTGCACCGCCAGCTGGAAGGAAGAGAAGAAGAGAAGTATAGCCTCCGTGGAGCAGACCTCAGCAGATCATTTTTCGGGTCTCCTTGCCTTCCCCCCAAAGATATCCCCAATTAAAATCGTCATCATATGTCATCATTAATATCATTATTTTCACATCCTTTCACAATTACTGTATTTTCAATCTTCTTCCTAAAACTTTAAGAAGTCTTTAAGTCTCACTTCCGTTGTGCTGGGACGCTGGTCATTTGCTCATTCCGTGTCGTTCCGTGTCGCCGAGACCTTGGCCCTGACAGCAGATCCCCACAAGACGGACCCGTACACCATGAAGGCAGGGTGTGAATGGTGGGACTATCGGAGACTATCGACGTTTTAAAAGGTTCTGTTGGAGCACATCATGAGCCGACATCATCAAGCCAAAATGTCAAGAGGGGTTCTTCAAAGTGTTCGGCCGTGCCCTTAGCCAGTCCAACTTTGCGAGGTTATTCTTCGAGCATGGCAGCAGTGTATGATCGAGACCCGCGCTGAGAATGTGCTGAACTTAAAGGATGCACAGGACACATCAGGACACGCAGTCACAGGAGAATTTGCCATTGTTATTGTTTCAATATGTTTCAATATGTTTCATGTTGTTTTTTAATGTTTTTTATGTTCTTCTGTGAAAACAAGGAGTCTCATCAGAGGGGTTCTCATCAGCTTGGAAACAAATTAAAACAAATTATAAATCATTTTGAAACATTAGATTTCATTAGATTAAATTTCAATGATAATCATGTTTCATACCTGTTTTTGGGGCAAACATGATGTGACATATGCTGTGGCCCTGGTAGCCATTGTGGCCCCACCTCGACCTCCCCTTCTCATACATTCTGATGTGACATAGTACTGCACTGTCTTTCTGGCCAATGTAATAAGAGTATCAAAAGATTGACTATGTATTGAAATACACTATTATCAAGTAATTGGTTGTGACGCACTGTACTTGTCTTGTTTAAGCATGTGCTATATTTATTCGCAGCTATATTGTAAGCACTTGGCACTTTTTATTTGTATTTAGATGTAATTCTCCTCAAAAAAATGTTTCAATATATTGTAAACTTTTCTGATAAAGTCTGCCAAAAAAAAGGACATTGCAGCAATACTAAAATTAGTCTACACAGACTAAATCGAATACTAAAATTTGGCGCAGGAGGTGCCAAAATCTGTAATTTTTTTTTAATTTTTTTTAATTTTTTTTTTTTTTTAATTTTTTCTAATTTTTTCTATTTTTTCTAATTTTTTCTAATTTTTTCTAATTTTTCCTAATGTTTTCAATTTTTCCTAATTTTTCTAATTTTTCTAATTTTTCGCATATGTATACTTTTGTTTTTGTAATTTGTTCCGCAACCCTGGAGGGGCTTCCCCTCTTGGTGTGCCAGGATGTGCTCCTGGGGGCAATCACACGTAGAGTGGAGTTTGCTTCGGAGTCAACCACCGTGGAGAAATCACTGGGTCCTGTGCACAATTGTTCACAGTTTGTAAGCACCAACTGGGGTAACTGCAATTGTAATAAAATTGGCCCTTGCCAGCAATCCCTAATATCAGAGCAACCCTCAACCCCAGATGTGATTAAGTGTTAAAACAACTTGTATTTAATATGCATCATCATTACAAAGATTCTATCTTAATAGTTCCATCATCATTTTGGCAGGGTTCAATGTCAAACAAAGTAGAATATAGACTGAAAGAAGCAGAGGTGCAGCAAGCAGGGGTCATTGCAAACAATGTTCTAGTCTGTTTCAGACTTGCCACCTAAGACCAAGTACAGCAGAACCTAGCACAGAAAAAAAAAGTGAGGGGCACGGAGTAATTTGTTTTTATTTGTTTTAATTTGTTTTAATGTTTAACCATTTGTTTCAATTTTTTGATATTTTTTGATATTTCAATCATATTTTTTTATATGATTTATAATTTTTCATTCTGGCCAGCCATGGCTGATGAGATACCCTTTGATGGGGTACCCAAGCCTGACAATTGATATGTGTGGGACGATTACTCTAAAGTACCATTCTCTTCTTGGATCTTGTTGGCTCGGAGCTCCGCGCCTGTTGCAAAGCCCAGCCCTTCTGAAATCCTGGATTTCAGGCAGTTAAAATTGAACGCTTGCGAGCAGAGGAACGTTTGGAGCCGAATAGAGTGAAGTTTCTCCAGCACCATATGTCAATTCATGTCAATTCTATTCAATTCTGATATCATATACAAAATATAATATATATATATTATATATATAATCATGTTGAACGATTTGGTATCATGTTTTCATAAATTGCCTTCACTTCAGTGACTTCTGTGCTGTAGCACCACGCACTTCCATCCGAGATCATCCGAGATCATCGGAGTTTCGAGGTGAGAAAGAGCACAGGAGCCAGGCACAAAGACGTTTCGCTATGCTCATCTCCGAGGCTGGTTCTCTATGTTCTCTGAAATCACGCAAGAGAAGCAGTAGCATGTTTGTTGGATTATGTAGGCTTGTTGACTTGTTTGCACCACAAGAATCCAAGCCTCTGATGCTCCAAGAGTCCGCAAGAGATGAAAGAAGAATGTTTGAAACGTACGATGTGTGTGTGTGTTTTGACGGTATACAAGATTGTAACACTATACAATATATAATAATATATAATGTTATAAGTTATAATATGAATTTAATTGAATGTATATATATATATGTGATATATTATTATACTGTTATTGTTATGATTTGTTGTGCATATCTTATTATGAAATATAACTGATCTCTTCTTCATGCATGATGCCTTGATTCCGCAGCGTTTTAGCAAGTCTTTGACGGTCATTCCTGTTCTGCCGCCTCAAGCTTCTCCTGTCGCCATGCGCATCGTTGCTGTGATTGCCGCCTTTGCAGCCGCACAAGCTTCCTTTCTGGAAAGTACGGGCCCTGGGCCATTGGACTTGACCAAGCTGGCATGATATGCTCCAACTGGTCTGGTCCAACTGAAAAAGAACTTCGATATTGATTTGTGTTGTTGAAGATGGTGCTTTCATGCCTTCGCCTGTATGACACCGGTATGAGATCCGTGGAGATCTGTGGGGACGTGCGGGGACACACGTGCTGCCACTTTGGGCGGCGCTGCCAGGCATCGAACCGCAGCTGCCAGGCTCGTTTTGCTCGCCATGCGTGCAGTCTTTTGGCAGATCTGGTGGAATGTTTAGCAATGTTTGATGGCTCATTTGCATTCATTTGCTGCCTTTGTGGATACCTGCTTGTTCCCCCTTTTTATATAGAATGATATATATTAATATACGGGTGTATATATATATAAATATAATATGTCTTTTGTGGTGTTGGCTGGAGATCTGGTGGGGACTATGTATAGTGATTAACAAGTTTTTTTCGGATCGAGATGCTGCTGTTGTGGACAGTGCTTGATCAAGGTTGGGAAACCAGGGTATTTCAACGCAACTCAGCTGCTTTCAGACTGCAGGTGTCGCACTTCCCAGTGCACGTGCCTAGCAACAAATCTTGTACCACTATATAATTCAGATGGGCATCATCATGGCAGTCATACATGCATATGATGCATTTGCATATTGTATCATTCTACACTTTCTTTACAAATCCATTTGAGGATGAAGAACTTCGGAGTTTTCAGTTGGGAAGCCTGCGCAAACTGAGGCTTTTGAACTACTTGCTGTTCCTTGGTTGAGTGAGGGTGAACTAGTTCAACCCAAATTTATCGTGCACGCGGCATCACGCGGCTATATGTGCAGAGCAAATATGTTGAGTGAAGTGAATGACACGCGCCGCCGGCACAAAAGATCCAAAATTCCCATAGTCTAAGGATAATTATATATTGAAAGATCATGTATATTTATATAGTGTGTGTGTGATGCTTGCAATACTGTGTTGGCTTAGAAAGCACAACGGATCCAAGGAATGCCGGTGTGGTCTCCAGTTGCTCCAAGCTTTGCAGCCATTTGGACACCAAGATGGAGAAGACCGCTGGGGACCCAGACGTGCACAGAGATGTAGGGCATCATGGAGTCATGGAGTGTTAGAAAGGTATACCCTCTGGTTATGTCAAAATAGCTATTGAAAATGACCATAGAAATAGTGGATTTTCCCATGAAATATGGTGATTTTCCATAGCCATGTTAGTTTGAGGGTACCTGCCTGATAAAAATGTTGATAATTGTATTGGATAGTCTTGGTATTTGTGCCATTTGTGCAGCCATTTGGCGCTCTGAGCTTTCCCCGTGTTAACAAGCCTGCAAGGCTTGCAATTTGGCATGCGATTTAGTGGGAATCAAGGCAGCAGTCTGGATTTTGCTGTGTTTTCCAGGCTGCATCATGCCATCACAAACAGATTCTGAGGTGTTGCATGTCCTGACTCTTTCCACACGTTGCCATCAATCCCTGCTGCAGAAGCGGCCCATGTTCGAGAGGCCTTCATTTCTGCACTGAACCACACCGACCTTGATCCTATTTACTTCTGCGAGGCTGGAAGGGTGAAATGGATAAGACCATATAAGACCAACTAAAACTTGCACAGTTTGTTTTGGAAAGCGTCAGAGGCACCTGATTTTTTTCCAACCGGCACCTGTGCACAGTATTCAGCATGTTTCAGAAAGCCATTCATACTGGACACCTCCGTGCAAGCTGGCAGGTGATCACTGCTTGTCCAGCAGGTCCAGATGATGCGGATGCCAAGGTGCTGAAAGCAGAGGCCCGAAGCTTGTTGGAGGATGTTGAAGGGGACCCAAAAACGACAGAAAATCACCAAGCAATATTTTTTTAGTCCAGAGCAGGCAACCAGGGGAATTTGTGATGGAAGCTTCTCTCACCGTCAGGCAAGCCCGAGCTCCGTGTCCAAGGGTGATACTGTTCAGTTGCTTTGCGACCTCAATGCAACTTGGCAGTGTTTGATACACTTCGACTGCACGCAAGCTATAATTACATGGTTCAGCAAGTCAAGCCCGCGTTGAAACAGGAATTTGTCACGAGTTTGCTGCTGACCACACAGCTCAGTGGCAGAAGCTGCTGACTCACAAGAGAGTGAGAAGAACGAAGCAAATGATGTCAGGTTAATTAGATGAGACCAAAGTGATATGCCGAAACCGGCAGAACAAGCGTATAGATACTCAAGGCGCAATTGCCAGGATATGCTAGCCCACTCAACTGTGCACAAGCATGGTGAACATCACTTTGCAGAGGATCTATGGGGACACTGGGGGATGTGTGATGAATTCTCAGGTCACCAAAGCATCTGGCGTTGGTGAGTACAGAGTTGCAGTTCGGGGTCCGGTGAAGGGGGACGTTGGCGAAGGCTTTTTGCTTCCCAAGGCACGACCCACTGGCATGGGAAAGAATTAGCAGATGTGGCGAAATATGTGCTCAACATCAACATCACTCAACCCTACTGAACCCAATCGGTCTTACAGTGAGTCAAGGCCCCTCAAACATCGTCAAACCATGTCAAACCTATTTGATTGAAGCTAAGTTTTTCTCAGTGAGTTTACATGTTGATTTCCGAGGATATGTTTTAATGGTTATCGGTTATCAGTATGATATCCATTGACGCGAAAGGTGGACAAGCCATTTTTGCAATGCTGGTGAGTGACAGTCAATCATAATCACGGACAACATGGCGCAGGGCCTGGATGTTGGCGCGCAGCAGCTGGGAGTTGAGCTCAAGGCCCTATAATCCAACACTCCAACACTGGTAGATGCAGCATGATGTCGATAATCCGATATGATGTCGATGTTTATATACATATGTTACAGCACGTGTAATCATGTGTACACACCAGAGCTTTGCTACTTGGGACCTGGAAGTTTGAAAGAACTCAACTTGTCAGCATGTCCCAACACAATCTTAGGTGAAGGACCACACATCTGGAGATGAGCCGGTGGTTTGGCAACCAGGCGCTGTAGCCTTTGCAAGTACATCAAGTACAGCTGGCGTCAAAATGAAAAAAGTTTGTAGAGTTTAATGCGTTTGATGGCTTCCAGAAAGGGACCCATGCAATGACAGGAGACTACGAGTTTGACATTGAGGTTTGTCAGGGCGAATGTGGAACAGACCTCAGAGATCCTGAGAGCGAGAGGATCCATCCGTATCCATTCGTACCAACTTTGTTTGTCTCTGTGCGTTTTTACTCACTAATGTTGTTGACGTGTCAGCAGGGAGTCCTTTTAGATCCTTTTAGTACTGTTATTGGGCATTCTCAGGCTCAAGCACATGGTTTCTGCTAAACTATTTCAAATATGTTACACCTCGCAGACAGCCAGCTGACAATGAGTGAAGCGACGCTTGCAGCGTATATTCGTGTGTATGAGTTATGCATGTTAGGCATTGGTTTCCGGTTTCTTAGAGTCACAGTCAGAGGTGATAACCAGGCGTTGGAATAGAAAGCCAATTTGCGTATCACCTCGGAGTCACCTCTGCAGCAATGGACCCATTGTCGCTGCAAGCCCGTGTGGTGGCGAGGCTTGCCAAAGATGAAGCCCGTGGTTTTCCAACCACTTTGCCACCGATGCCACCACAACCACGCCACACCGTAGAGGAATCATCCGACTCAGATGACGGGACAGACTCTTCCAGTGAAAACAGCATTGAGGACCTCCGCATAGAAATAGCTCAAAAGTCAGCTGCTCGTGCTCGCAAAGGAGCAGTAGAGGAGCCACCTGACGAAGAAGACTCGCCCGCAGAATCTGAGGATGATAAGAAACTGGCACCATTGATCACTGCAACTCGTATTTGCAGCCGGCGGGAGCTCTCACGTTGCATCCGCCGTGAGCGGAAGAAGCTTCAGATCGTTCTTGCAGCACTGATCTTTACAGTCCTACTGTTTCTCATGAGCACCTTGTGGTTTTTGGAGACAAAAGCTCCGAAACCGGAAGCGCGCTACAGAACAGAGGACATTCCTCAAAATGCGTGGCTGGCTGCTGGCTGGGGGCTACCACCAGTGGTCCGTGAGCAGCGAGCCAGACCTTTGAAGCCAACTGAGTTTCACTGAGCAGTTTCATTGCGCGGAAAAGATGAGATATGATGAGATATATTGGTCAGGTCACTCAAGTCGGAAGGAACCCTTCAATACCTTCAGCATGACACCGGAATATTATGGAATATTTGTGTTGGCCATGTGGACCCATACCGCAAAGCTTTGTGATGCTTTGTGCTTCAAAACCAGGAACCCTGACTGGTCCCATCGGCTGAGGCTCTAAGCATCCACATTCCAAGGCAGCAGCATACGTCAGAACATGGATAACATGGTAATATATGCCATGAATTGCCATGATCTTGGATGATTTGGATGGCTGTTGGCACTACTCTTCATGTATTTCATGTCAAACTTGCCGCACGTTCCGTGCCAGGTGTTTGGTACGGCAACTGGAAAGTTCACTTTGAAAGAATCGCGGCAAGACTTGGCCCAGGGGCTTTATGACTTGATGATTGCATAAAAGGAATTAAATCTATTGAAGGACGTTTTGAGTTTTGACACGCAAAATGAATCGAACTGATTCATGTAGCACGAGTGTATCGAGCATACCAAGCGGAAGACGCTTGATGCTCAAGTCGAAGCACACTTGCCGACGAACACTGCAGAGATGAGGCAGATTGCATAGTACAATAGAAGTCATAGAAGTCATAGAAGTCATAGAAGTCATAGAAGTCATAGAAGTCACAGTACTACAGATTGTGATGGTGAGTTGGCTTGATGTGCTGTGCTCAACTGCTCCGCAAGAAGTTGCTAAGGATGGGCTTGTGGTGGTTTGAGAGAGCAGGGTGATTGCAAGTCCAGGGCTATTTCCGGTATTTCAACTGGGCTGCAGAACATCTTCCGAGCCTGGCCGCAGTTCTGAGGTATGAGCGCTTGGTTCACGACTCACTGGCTTCATGGCTCATGGAATGGGAATAGATGTACTAGTAGTGATTACTGGGTAGTGGAGCCACAAGAGCGCGGGTGCAGGAACAAAAGAACAGTTTCGCCCGTTTAAGCCCGCATGACTTTCTGCAGCAGATGAAATACATTGGCTACCCGATGCCTTTTGCAATTGATTTTCTGTGCTGGCTTTGTGCGTCATCGCAGGGCAACAAGCCTCTATTGCATGGCAGCTTCAAAGCGTGGCATAGCAAGGCTCGCTTTCGCTCAGTCATGAGGATGGAAAATGAAGGATATCAGGACTTATGAATACTCATGACATCTCATGACTAGCCAACTCAGGATTTTCCCTATCCATGATGGGAAAGGGTGTGCATGTAGGGGGTGTGCAAGGTCCAAGCTGACAAAGAGGAAGAGAAGCGACAGCAGGCGACAGTCGAAAGTTCTGGAACGTGTGGCGAGACAGAGCTTTGAATGATACAACGTGGTGCACCTGAATTTGCGTTTGTTTCCATGCCATTGCCAGATGGAGCAACACCTCAGAAACCTTCAAGCGATTTTCCGCTCTTGGTCAACTTTGACTTCCGCTACAGCCTCAGAACAATGAACATCACTGCATAATACTGACTGCACATATACGAATAAATATCTATGTATACATGATATATGCATATAAATGGTCTGCAAACATCATATTATATACATATATATATGTTATATATGCATATAATGTTGTAGTAGTAATGCCAAATTCTTACTCAAGACAACAGACTAAGATGTTTGTAGATAGGGGCTGTGAAGTGTTCAAGGCGGGAAAGCGAGAGAAGGAGCTGGAGCGGGAGAAGGCGATGCATGAAATGGGCACCAAGTGGGGCCAAGATGTGCTACGTTCCGGGCGTTTCAAACATTTTGTCATGTTTTGACATCGAATGATCTCGAATGCTGCTGGCGCTGTTCGGCGCCAGGAACGGCTGCAGAAAGATCAGGCCAAAACTGGAGATGCAAATCAAAATAAGCCCACCCACATGGATCATCATGGATCCACATGTCATTTGGTATCACTCCGCGTGCCATGTCATCTTCAGGAGAGTTTGCTGAAGGAAGTGGAGGACAAACTTCCCCACAAGCATCAGAAACTTCAACCGATTGATCATGGTTTTGCACTGAATCATTTCGTCGCAAGACACACTGGAAGTGATGATTTAGCTCATACGATCTTGCATTTACAATGCCCCCCAAGGTTTCAAATCAGAGTAAAGAAAAAATATGCTAACTCCGACACGTCCTAGACTCTAGACCTGCATAGATAGACAGAGCCCAAATGAGCCTAATCGCATTATTTTTTTTGCTAGGACGTGCGTTTGCGCAACTCCAAGATGCGTGGCAGTCTTTTGGGCTTGTCAGTGCAGGCCTTTCAATGCCACAGATTTTGAGTACTGGTGCCAAATGCAACGCATATGCAAAAGAATATGTTGTCTTTGGTGCCCGTAGCGGATTTCTTGTCTCCTTCCCATGAATGGCAGGCCGACCCCAACCAGTACGTTTTGCTTGGCGCCGGTCACAGTCAAACGCTCCTGAAAGTTTTTAAAAATGCAAATAAGATGTCCAAATTTTCCAAATTGCAAAAGCATTCTTAGCGGTTTGCAGAGACTGCATGCAGAAAGCCAATCATGGCTGCAGGCATGATACTGGCATCTTGGAAGGACTTGCTCATGGAGAAAAGGCTTGGCTAGTGACAAGGGGTCATGTCTTATATAAGTGGCGCGGGCACACAAATAGCATGCCAATCCATTAGTTCTAGAATGAATTGTTTGTTGCAATGAAGAGCATGCATGAACATATAATTAATTGACATTAAATGTAGAATTGAATTAAAAGATCGAAATTGATCGAACACGTTTATATTGGAACATCATGGAAAGATAATTTGCAGCCATACCAGAGTCCCAATACAGCGGTCATGTTGATGGGACAGCCGTCAGGCTAATTGAGAGCCGTTTGCAGCCTTAGTCCCTTTGCATGTTCTTCGCACTGACGAGACACGACGAGATGTGTCGCTTTCAAACTTTTGGAATGGATTGTCGCATGTTGCCGCAGCCATGCTGTTTGCCAAGGCCAGGAGGAGAGGAGAAAGGTGCAGCAAGAGTTTGAGGACTCCGCGATAGGAGCGTTTGCTCCTTCTGTAGCTCTTTGAGGAATTGACATTGAGATGCATTTCGATCATTTTGCGATGCACGGATAAGCGCGACCGTTTAGACTTTGGACACTGTGCCCGTCGTGAAGTAAGCCAAAGAATGAACGTCTGCAGGAAAGGCAAGAGGAGCAAAGGCAGAATTTGAGGCACCTATCATGCTGTTGCTGCCTCTTCCTGGTAGTGTGAGTGTGTGAACAGATGTATGATGTTTTGGGCAAGTTTCCAGGTGCCATTGCAAGACGTGTCATGCAGTGCCATTTGTATATGGCTGACTACCTAGTTCAAGCATGTTCACCCATGTTCAACCTGCCTGTTTCTAACATGCTTTGTGTATCCTGTATCTTCGGAATCGGGACATGTGCTCGAACTCGAACTCGTGGTTTTGTTCAAGCTCCAGTCGATAGATGGCACAGCGCTGCAACTTATGGCAGTGCATTTTTGAGCGTCATGGCCACTTAGTTTGAATACGAAGCAAAATAAGCAAACTTGTCGCTCATGGTTCTTGGACAGTTGGAGGGCATGGCCTGGAGAGGAGCAAGAAAGAGAGAGAGGGAGAGAGAGAGAGAGAGAGATCACTACGTGTATCTACTTGATTCTACTTGTACAGTACACCAGGTTTAGCAGGCAGCTGGATACAGCACATGGTTGGACTACAGGATACTACAGGCTGTTACCGATGTTGATGGCTGTTTGCGGATGTTCATGATGTATTGCAAAGTATTTTGCAAAGTCTTGCGCTACCTCCCTGAGGACCATGAACCTATTGGCACTGCCTCTTGAGAGGGAGCAAATCTATTCCATAAAGCGGAGATTTCCTGGCTTTTCTGGCAAGGCAGGCAGTGTGTAAGACCAAAAAAACGATTATATAAAAACGATAAACAACGGATGTCATTCTTGCATTTCCTGTCTAAATATGTCTAAATGGTGTTTGATGTTTTTGAATGTTTTTGATATAATTATTTGCTATGTTTGCCAAAACCAACGGTGCTAAAATGCGCCGAAGAAATGCATAGAAATGCGCTATATGCAGCATTGCAGGTTCCGGAAGAAGCTCGATTTTGGTCAGAGGAGGACTTGGAGGCTTTCTTTGATAGCAATGGCTCCTTGGTGGCTTTAGGGCGGAAAGCACCGGCTCTGTCCACGAAACCACAAAATCCGCAAATCACAGAATTCGACGTTCCAAACCAATTTCAGTCGCTCGCCTCTTGGTTCAAAATCACAATTTCATGCAAATTACAGACATTCAAGCGGGGTTTAAATTGGTGTTTTGCATTTTCCTGTTGTCTTTTGCTGTGTCCATTGACCAATACAATCCAATACCAAGGTCAGAAGCAGCCGACTCATGGATGCAGATTCAGAAGATTCTTTGTTTATTGATTTTGAGGTAGGGGACGTAACTGGAAAGAGATCACATGAATTCGTATTAAGGATAATTATTCATGATATAATGGTCTAATATGGTCTAATGATGCCTAATGCCTATCCGATATCCGTTTTTGCCTTGCTTTGGCCTTGACAGCTCTGGCCTCTTTCACCTTGTGCAGTGTGCTGCTGAAATCTAGGCGCGAGAGTGCGAGACCTGTTGCAGAGACCTGTCCTTTGCTCTCACGAATAAGGCGCGTTGCTGGTGAGACAACTTTGACCTAACCACTGTTAGGCCATATGAATCCATAATATGAAGGTACTGTACTGTATGTCCTGCTTGACTGGTCGTTTTGAATCAAAAGCGAGTTCAAACATGTTCAACAACATTCCTGATATTCCTGGCACGATCCTCTGGCTTGCGCTCCTGCATGATGATCGTTGGACGTTGAAGGCTTGAGCTGGCAAAGCAAAGAATTGATGAACCAACCATTGAGTATGTACCTGTTATGCAATTCTCGGAGTGGGCGTGCGTGTCATGCTTGGTCAGGGCACGCTGTGAGACTGTGAGATGCGA